ATATAATAATAATCATTTTAAATAAATAGCAAAGTTTGGCGGATATTACGCATATGTTAAAATAAATTGATATTTGCACATTCATACACATACACACACACACAAACATACATAGGGGTTTGCAATTTTTGAGAGAATGGCGAATAAAGGGGAGTGTGTCCCGTAAGCGGGCGCCATTAAAGCGTCGAGCAAACCACCACCCAAGGCAACAGCCGCAGTCGCAGTTCCAATTACAGTTACAGTTTGCCAGTTGACAGAGCGACGAGTTTTTGGGGCACTCGGCGCTTGGGTGGAGGGGGCAGTGGTAAAATGGAGCTGGCGACGGCGATAGGAAATCGCAAAAACAGCTGAAAAGAGCGCCAACTATAAAAGCGCGCGCTCACTCTCACAAAATTCGCAAGAGAGCAGCACTCAATACACACACACACACACACACACACAGGCAGAGCGAAATATATACAACGGTAAAATGTAACTGATAAGAAGGAGCAGTGAGGCGAAGCGTAGACGTCGAGCTATGTACAAAGCTTGGGAGAGAGGCATTGGAAAGACAACGGCACATACAATACACAAGCAGACATGCACGCACACATACACACAGGCAAACAGCGTTAGGCTACGCCTTGAAGCGCGAAAGAGAGCGAGCGAGCGTGCCGCGTCAAGCGACGCGGGCAGAGAAATCACAGCCGACCAATGAAAAATTTAGTCAAGAGATTTTGATTTTCTGTTTTATACGCGCGCACACACACGCATAACAAACACGACGCACACATTGACACATGCACTCGCCGAGACAGCGCGCTGTGAGATTGTGTGTGTGTGTGTGCGTGTATATATATTTCTGTGCCAGTGCGAGCTGCGCATACACCCCTATAACTACTATAGCAACAACAAAGCTCTGCCGAAAACGTAGCAACTGCGCTGCTGCCGCCGCTACGCGCACTATTGCGCCGCCATTACGCCTCGAGCCACTAGGCGTCTGCATCGATTTCTATAGTTTTCTTGTTTTTGATTTTTTCTTACTCATAGCAGTTCAGTCCAGCAGTAGAGCTCTGTTCTTATCAGTATGACTATGACGGTCATCTTTATTTAAAAAACTCATGCAAAAGCATGAGCGAAACAACATTGATATTTCATGTACAAAGAAATACAATGAGTAATTTTATTAAAAAGGAAGAAAAAATTATTTGGTTTTGAATTTCTTTAGCAACTTTGATAGTTAATTAAAGAAGTTCCATGACAAAATTGATAAAAATACAAAAACAAATGTATTTTATTTTGATTTTCTATGAAAATACTATACATTTGGTAGAGCTTAAAATGTTGCTGAAGGACTTTTATATTAAAACATTTTTAGTTAACTCGTAGAAACAATATAGTTTGCAGGTTGATTATATTTATATAGCTCTCAATAAGTTGAATCTTCTCCGATTGTCACATTTTGTTACCATCCTATTCTGTTTTTCTTATAATTAAATATTTTGTATAATTTTAGTTCTAGAACCACTTTGAAATCCCTTAAAATGAATCGTCTTATAATAATAAAATAATTCAAATTTCGCAAAAATCATCTCATCAGCAATATATCATTATTATGTGCCTCACATCTTTCAGAGTCGCGTCTGCTTCTCTTTTCAACACCAAATCTTTCGCTTGCACCATTTGGCAAATTTTATGATAATATTATCATTATATTCTCTTCTTCATTTCTGCAAAATCTTGCACTCAAATCAGTTTGTAAATTGCCAAAATAATAACCTTCTAATAAGCAGCCTCCGACTGCGCTCCTCCTCTCTAACTCTAACTCAGAGCTCTGCGGGCCCCAACCCAGAACTGCCAACGCATTCGCATTTCATTCGCCTTTAGCGAGCGTCTGGCTAAATCAGTGGAAGGCGACTCCACACACACAGTCAGACACAAATATTTCAGACATTTTTATCGTTTGGCGTCTTCGATTTAGCCACCCGCAACAACAACAACAACAGCAGCAGCAGCAGCAGGAACCCCTTTCACCTCAAGATATATGATAACGGATCCGTTCCGTCTCGTGCTTTGCTTTAGTCTTTGACTTCCTTTTGGCCCTGGCTTAGTTTTCATTTCTCTTGGTTTTTCTTATCTCGTTCGACTCGTTGCGTGCGTGCTTTTTGCCTCGTTTTACGACTATCCTTAATTTTTCCGCTTTTCTTTGCGTTTCCCAGTGTTTTTTGCGACGTGTTTCTATTGCCGGCAATAACTGCTCCAGCAGATTTTTCCCCATTGATGTGATTTGCCGTCTGTTCCTTTCCATTTTCCCTGCATTTGCGTTTTTTTTTTTTTTTTTTGTGTTTTTTATTTTCGTGCCTCAGATTTTTTTTGGTTTGTAAATTTATGCGCCATAAAAGCGGAGCAAAAATATATTTTACATACTTACATACATTTATATAGCTGTGTGAGTCAATGCGTGTGTGTGTGTTTGTTTACTTATTCATGAGTTTCATTTCGATCCGAAACTCTAAACTCATCTGCACATTCAGCAAACACCTTTGGCCCCGTCAAGGCTGCTAAGCAAATCAATAAGTTAAAGCTTCTCTGATTTTTTTAAAGAGCTGACCTCAAAAGTATTGTTTAAGGAAATTAGTGAGGAATTATTTAATTTTTAGTAAGTTAATTTACTTTTAATGATATATTTGATTCAGTTATAAAGCTTCAGTTATAAACCAACAGACTTTGGTTACATGAAAAAATATATATTTACAGAGATAAATTTTAATTTTACAGAGATAAATTCAAAAAATATTTAGATATGCAAAAACAAACAAAATACATTAAAGAATATTTTCCTACTATAATTTTATATTATATACAATATCGGTTAAAGACTTTGACTTTCGATTGTGTATTTCTTATAGCTTTACCCATATTCTGAAAGACTCCAAATATTTTAATTTCAGTAATTGCATGCTTAGCTTTTACATATTAAGAATTAAAGTTTTTCTACTAAAGGTATTCCAAGCCTTGGAGTTATTCATATAAAGGTTTTGTTGAATGTCAAAAGAAACCTTTTAATCTACCAATTATAACTGGCTTAGGAATTTATTTAGGAATTTATAATTTTTGCTGAAATGCACTTTACAATGAAATAACTTTTAATCAATCTTATTTTTGTTTGCATTTTATTATATCTTTGATTAACTCACGTTAGGGTGCGAACAAAATCTCTTTTGTCTACTATAAAAAAATAAAATCAGAAATCAAATCTCAACGCATACCAGGAATATTAAATTCTGATTCTATGCGTTGCGCTTAAAGCTAAATATAATTTTTTTATTCGTCTTTTTGTTTCTTTTTTGTTTCGGGCAACGCTGCGTATGCGTTATTTTGTTATGAGACTCGGGGAAAAGAAACATGAAATGTTGAAAGAGCAAAGCAAAGCGAAATATAAAACGTGTTGAATTGAAAGGATATGCCGAGTGTGCTGCTAGGACACACACACACACACACACACACACTTTCACGCACACTAAGACAGTTAGACAGACGTAAAATATTAGAAGAGTAAAAGAAAAAGCAGCGCAGAAGCAAGCAAAGATTTAAAAGAATTTCCACAATGTGATGCAATAAAAATCCTTGAAATCTGTACATACAAAAACCCCGACAGCCCCAGCACCACCCTCTCCATCCACATCCCTCCTCCACCCAAAAAAAAAAACTCACCTCAGCCTCAGTCCATTTGCCGCTCTGCTAGCCCCCGTCCCTCTCACTGGCTGCCTATACATACATACAGATAGCCCCCACACAGCTTGGCGTGTTAGTTAGAGCAGCCAGGCAGCTAACCAGAGATACCCTGCGATTCCCCCCATCCCCCTTACAGCTCGCCAGCCGGGCGTTCGCTTTCTCTGAGAGTGCCCACATTGCCAGCTGCCAGCTGCCAGCTGGAAACTGCCAACTGCCAACTGCCGACGGGCGTCGGCCGACGGGATTTGGATTTGGGTCTCGTTAGTGCTCGTCGCTCGTTTGCTGTGATAAATAATAAAAGCTGCTCTATAATCTCTGCGACTACGTGACGTTATTTGTGCCGATAGTGCACGAACGTGCCCCGAGCAGCAGCAGCAGCAGCAGTTCTCGAGCAGAACGAGAATCCCTTCAGCCTTCAGCCAGCAGCCTTCAGCCAGCAGCGCAGTAGCTCTGCCTGCCATGGAGTACATGCTCCGCAAGGACGAGCACTCGAGCTAGTCGTGGCAGTCGTTCGACCCGAGAGCTACTACAGCATGACTACTCAATTTCTGTTTTTTCATTTTTACTGCTACAGCTGCGTCTGCCACGCCTCCACGTTGCTTCAGCTGCTCCTTAAGCACAACGACGTCGACTCCTGCCGCGGGAGCCAAAGTTGAATCAGAGCACATCCCAACGGTCGAATGTTTCAGAATCACGTCGCTGCAATTCCATTATATACTTACAGAGACTGTGCTCACATACACATAT